TTGTCTTAATAGCAGCTTTGTGTTGAGTAATTAGAGGACGTAAATGATTTTGGGTAGTAAAACCCAAGCACAAATACCATAGTTGAGGTAAGGCTAGATGAGAGAGTAATAGTGTCACCAGGGCAGGGCGAGGTACATAATATCATAGAAAGAATGCCAACAGTTTTTGAAACTTTTTTTGATATATTTAGAATGTGTCCCTGGAAATTCAGCTTGGGGTCAATGAGAACGCCAAGGAATTTGCTATCTACTTTGCCATAAATTTGGGTATTGTTTATCCTGAGGTTTATTTGATTTGAGGATTTATTGCCAAACAAAGTATAGAAAATTTTGTCAATATTGAGGGTGAGTTTGTTGGCAGTTAGCCAGAGATAGACTTTATTTAGCTCAGTATTCACTGTGACATTTAGAGCAAGGGGTCAGGACTGGAGTAAATGAAGGTCTTGTCGTCCGCAAATAGAATTGGTTTAAAATGTTGGGAGGCATTTGGAAGGTCATTAATGTAGATGAGAAAGAGGAGAGGGCCAAGTATGCTGCCCTGGGGAACACCAATGTTGATGGGTAGGGTGGGAAAAATTGACATATTCACAGAAACATACTGTCAGTATGGTAAGACTTAAGGTATTGCAGGGAGTGACCTCTGACTCCATAATGATGTAATTTAAGAAGAAGGTTTTGGTGGTTGACAGTGTCAAAAGCCTTACGCAGGTCCACAAATAACCCAACAGGGAACTCATTGTTATCAAGAGCTGCATGCATCAAGTTAACCATACTAATAAGTGCATCGTTAGTGCTTTTTTTGATCTGAAGCCATATTGACAAGAGCTAAGTATATTGAGTTTGGTTAGATAAGAGTAAAGCTGCTTGTAGATTAGTTTTTCAAATATTTTTGACAAGTTTGCCAGAATTGATTTAGGTCTGAAGTTGTTGACATCAGTGGGATCACCACATTTGTGGACAGGGGTTACTCTCGCTTTTTTTTTAGAATATCTGAAAGGGTTTGGAGTTCAAGTGACTTGCTGAAGAGCAATGCAATAGCAGGAGCTAAAGATCTGGAGGCTTTTTTGTAAATTAGAGTTGGTAACTCCTCAAGGGCACTTGACTTGGTGATACATTTGAAACTGTGACAGTGTCAGACCACGAAGGAAAAATTGAAACTTCTTTCACCAGGTACTCGAAACTTGAGTACTTTCGTATTTAATAATACATCTTCAGAAGGATGGATTTACAAATCAGTAGATTGGTTATATAGGCAGGAGAGAGGTGAAGTGAGGTACAATGACATTTATATGAATGGAATTGGGTGGATATAAATAGGAGCTGCGTTGTATGGGCTATTACGGGCTCACCATAGCCCGTGCTACACGGACATTTCGTTCTGAGTAGCTAAATCTAAAACAACAACAACAGTATGGGCCAATAAGCCCCCATATGTGGATATTAATATCAGAAGATAGTAGATATTTAACACGGTATTAGTGAGACAAATCTGTATCACTGATCCTACTCAAATTGCCCTTTAACTGATCAATCAAAAATCGATCTAAATCATACAAACCATTGCTAATGTTCAAATTACATGATTTTGTAATCAGTATTAAAGCAGATTCAATTATGTTCCTATTGAAAACGATTTTACAATTCGTTATTGAAGAAGCCATCTCCCAATCAATTTGGTGAGAATTTTCTGACAAATGAACAAACAAAGCATTAGACAATTGGCCATGTCTTACAGAGTATTTATGTTGCGAAATTCTCAATCATCTCTCTCCTGCCTATATAACCAATCTACTGATTTGTAAATCCATTCTTCTAAAGATGTATTATTAAATACGAAAGTAGTTAAGGAAATTCCTGTTTCAATCCTTCCTTCGTGGTCTGACACTGTCACATTTTTCATGTGGTAATTTTCGTGATTTACACATTTGAAACTATGTATGGGGGGGGGTCTGCCTTCACCATATCACTGCCTATTGCATTCCAATTCTTCACTACCCTGACTCTGAAAAAAGTTTTTCTAATGTCTCTGTGGCTCATTAGTACTGTTTCCAACTATGTCCTCTTATTTGCGTTCCACCCACAGTGTGGAACAGTATTCCACCCCACAGTGCGGAACAGTGTTCCGCTCACAGTGCACTGCAACACAGTGGTTACCAGGATCAGGTTGTGTTACAGTTACCTGTGGCAGGTGGCTACAGTGACGGATCTCCCAAACCTGAGCACTCCAGGTGCAAACTCTGTGAGCAGGAACTGCGGCATGATCTCGCACACTATATCACTGAATGCACAGTAATTAGACCATCCAGACCCGTTGGCATGAAGTGCCTGGAGCCTTGCAATCACTTTATTAACTCTCGGGTTCTTGAAGATATCCTCATATTGCCAGTGCAGATTACTGATCTCTTGACCCTGTATGACTAGCCATCCTGTGTGTTGGGGATTATTAGCATCACGTAGCTAGTTCTTTCTTGACACACTGTACTCCCCTTCATATAGTCTAGGGCATCTGCACAAACGCAGATGTACCTAAATGTGTTAATAAAAATAACCATCGCATATTCAACACAGCCAGACCGTTCTTACAGGCTTGAATCAAAGTAACAATGATACTAAATAATACTGCAGCTATGTTGTGTGTTTGCTGCGTGCATATAGTGCATATTCTGAGGGCGAAAGCAGCAGTGAAAGGGGATAAGAGGGGACGGAGGGGTAGAGAGACCAGGAGGAAGAGGGAGAGTTGGAGGGATGGAGAGAAAGAGAGAGCATGCAGGAGGGGTAAAAGAAAATGGGAGACACAGACAGACAGACCGTATCTCGTCAAACTCAAGATTAAATTGGAGAAGTTTGAGAGGTATGCCATCAGACTAGTACCCGACCTGAGGGGTATGAGCTACAAAGAGAAACTACTGGAACTAAACCTTACGTCGTGTAAGAAAGAAGAGTTATGGGAAACATTATCACCACGTACAAGATTCTCAGGAATTGATAGGGTAGATAAAAACTATTTATTTAACACAGGGGTACATGCACAGGGGGAACACGGATGGAAACTGAGCATCCATATGAGCCATATAGATATTAGAAAGAACTTTTATAGTGTCAGAGTAGTTAAGAAATGGAATGCATTAGGCAGTGATGTGGTGGAGGCAGACTCCATGCACGGTTTCAAATGTAGATATGATAGAGCCTAATAGGCTCAGGAATCTATACACCAGTTGATTGACAGTTGAGAGATGGGACCGACCAAGTTCAACCCCCGCAAGCACATCTAGGTGAGTATAGACAAACTCAGTCACTGCTGCATGGGTACCAACCCATCCAGTATTCAGTAAATCAGTCGGCACGGAATAGCCCTAACTGCCTGGAGGGTTGCCAACACAGTCGAAATATTTAAGAACGCTGGGATAAGCATTTGCACAATTACTCCCTTGCACAGGGAGTTGACAATTGTTGCGAAGTTAGAACTTCAATTCACTTAACCTGGCGTTGATAGGGGAAAAGTTCCTTGAGGCTATCATTGTAATTCAATAAGAAAACACCTATACCCTCTTACCGTGGTTTCTAGCAAGGGCGATCCTGTCTCACTGTCTGATTTATTGGCATAGATTAATCCACCAAAAGGAGGCACGGGTATGAACAACAGGAAGTGGAGGGTGTTTGGAGCCATTACCAGTACCAGTACCGGAGACCTGTGGATGGATGGGGTCTTCACGCTCACTCGCAGCAGGAACGCTATGCGTGCTAGTGGTTTTACAAGAATGTAAAACTTCAATGCTCTGTACTCTCATAAACCCAATGTACCTTCTTGTATATAAATAAATAAATATTCTGCACGAGGCTTGGCTCTTCAGGCAGGAGGCTTATAGATGGCTGCGTCACGTTTCGTCTACTATCCTCCCTGTCTGACAAGGCTGCTATCCTCCTTGTCTCACAAGTCTGCTATCCTCCCTGTCTCACAAGTCTGCTATCCTCCCTGTCTCGCAAGTCTGTTATCCTTTTTTATGGGTATTCCAGGCAGTCGACATCAGTAGCAATGATAATGATGTTTGTCTTGACCTCACCACTCCTTCACCACTTCCTCAACACAAACTAACCAACCCTCATCACTCTCTCAACCCCGCATCGCCCCTTCACCACTCACGTCATCACCCGTCTCATCTCCTATCACTTTACCCTCCGGCAATGTAAAAAGATTTCAAGCTAAAGGCACAATCACTCTGGCCAACATCTGGGGCCTCTTGCAAGGCTTAATTAACGCTATTATTCATTCATATTGATGCATTCCCAGTTTCTAGTGTGGAATACATTCCTGGCTTCTAGTGTGGAATACGTTCCTAGTTTCTAGTGTGGAGTACATTCCTAGCTTTTAGCGTGGAATACATTCCTAGCTTCTAGTGTGGAGTACATTCCTAGCTTTTAGTGTGGAATACATTCCTAGCTTCTAGTGTGGAGTACATTCCTGGCTTCTAGTGTGGAATACATTCTTAGCTTCTAGTGTGCAATACATTCCTGGCTGCTAGTGTGGAATACATTCCTAGCTTCTAGTGTGGAATACATTCCTGGCTTCTAGTGTTGAATACATTCCTAGCTTCTAGTGTGGAATACATTCCTGGCTTCTAGTGTGGAATACATTCCTAGTTTTTAGTGTTGAATACATTCCTAGCTTCTAGTGTTGAATACATTCCTAGCTTCCAGTGCGGAAAATTGAATAATGTATGTTTACTAATATCCACACGAAGACAGCGAAGCAAGTCGAATAAATTTATATAGATATTAGCGTTTGGGTCTCCCAGCTGCCATGCCAATGTTTGCTAGTGCAGCCTGGTATTGACTAGCCTCGCATTTCATGTTTTCTTCTGTGAAAGAGGGGTGGGGGAAGGACCATTGTGTGAGATAGGGCGGGGGTTATTAGATGATCTAACGCCTATTCTTTGTAACCCCCTCATGTAGAATAGGCTACTAGAACATTGCTATATATATCTAAACTGATTTAGGGTACAAACTAGTCTGGCCATGGATGGCAGTCTGAGCGGGTCGACGTAGACCGCTCCCGGTCGTCACTCAGTAAGACTCTCCCGTCCAAGCAAGACTCGTCCAGGCAGGATTCTCCCGTGCAAGCAAGACTCTCCCGTGCAAGCAAGACTCTCCCGTCCAAGCAAGACTCTCCCGCCCAAAAGGAAGCGCCAGTTTGGATTCGTTTCCTTCGCTTACCGTAAGTCATTGGAGGGAACTCCTCTTGGAAAGAATTCTGAATCATTTTGACGAAGATTTTTAAATAACAGAAAGCAGAAAGAATGGTCCTATATAAATGTTAGTGTGTGTTAGTAGAGATGAATTTGTCCAGTTTTGTATACGCGATTCATGAGTTTTCTAGGTAGGAAATATACACGGAAAAAGATTCACTATCACTTCAAGACGATCTAAATAGGGTTTTGAAATGGTCAAAAGATTGACAGATGCAGTTTAATGTTGACCAATGTAAGGTTTTCAGGCTAGATAATGATGATAGAGTAACAAGATACGAGCTAGATGGTGTTGAGATTGCGAAATCTGATTACGAAACGGATCTGGGAGTTATGATTATTAAGAATTTAAAACCAAAAAATTAATGTATAAATGTTCGTAATAAGGCAAATAGTACATTGGGATTTATTAATCGAAGCTTTAGTAATAAGACACATAGTGTTGTTCTTCAGCTATATCTTGCTCTAGTTAGGCCCCATTTAGATTATGCAGTTCAGTTTTCGTCGCCGTACTATAGAATGGATATAAATTCACTAGAACGCGTTCAGCGTAGAATGACGAAGTTAATCCCCCAAATTAGAAACCTGTCATATGAAGAGAGATTGACAAAGCTTATATTACATTCTCTAGAAAGGCGAAGAATTACGGGTGACACGATAGAGGTGTACAAGTGGATAAATGGATAAAACAAATGGGATATTAATAGGGTATTAAAAGTATCAACACGAGATAGAATACGAAACAATGGGTATTAATTGGATAAGTTTAGATTTAGGAAAGACCTGGGTAAATACTGGTTTGGTAACAGGGTTGTTAATTTTTGGAACCACTTACAGCGTAACGTAGTTGAGGTAGGGTCCCTTGATTGTTTCAAGCGTGGGTTTGACATGAATATGAATGGGATTGGGTGGTTATAAATAGGCGCTGCTCATATGGGCCAATAGGCCTTCTGCAGTTACCTTTGTTCTTATATTCTTATCACCATGAAGTTGTACCATACGTACTTCTGTGGACTTCCGGAGAAAAAGCAGTACGCAGAACAATGCAATTTGTGGCAATACAATCGAGATAATGTAGATAGAGTTAAATATTTTTCTATGGGGTGCAGAGTATTTATATATTTTAATATTTCTACTTAATTGACGCTGAAGAGGTGTTTGTGACGTGATATTTGGATACTTTGTTATAGTATTAAGCTTACATGCGAATGAATCATTCTAAAGAAAACCACGAATCAAACGGTATTTAACTAGGTCCAACGTTGTTATTCCAGCCCGTCCTCCTAAAGTTTCCCAACGTCAACAAACTGTCGTACTAACGTGCCCTTATTTTAACCTACCAGAGGACCCAAAACAGAAAACGGGACAGTACGTCACTTTCGCGAACCGCTACACATTTCTAGTACCACAATTTTTGGCCTTAGGTAGAGTATACGTCGAAACGCAACGTTCTATTAGGAGGACGGGCTGCAGCGTTATTCATCTGTTTGTCTGATCCTGTTATCTGTGTTTCTGACGTTGTTATCTGTGTTCCTGATCCTGTTATCTGTGTTTCTGACGCTGTTATCTGTGTTCCTGACACTGTTATCTGTGTTTCTGACAATGTTATCTGTGTTCCTGACACTGCTATCTGTGTTCCTGACACTGTTATCTGTTTCTGATGCTGTTATCTGTGTTCCTGACACTGTTATCTGTGTTCCTGACACTGTTATCTGTGTTCCTGACACTGTTATCTGTTTCTGACGCTGTTAACTGTGTTCCTGACACTGTTATCTGTGTTTCTGGCACTATATGTGTTCCTGACTCTGTTATCTGTGTTTCTGACATTTTTATCTTTGTTTCTGACACTATATGTGCTCCTGACACTGTTATTTGTGTTTTTGATACTGTTATCTGTATTTATGACACTATGTGTTCCTGATACTGTTATTTGTGTTTCTGACACTATCTGTATTTCTGACGCTGTTATCTGTGTTCCTGACACTGTTATCTGTGTTTTTGACACTGTTATCTGTGTTCCTGGCAATGTTATCTGTGTTCCTGTCACTGTTATTTGTATCTGACGCTCTGTTATATGTGTTCATGACGCTGTTATGTGTGTGTGTCTACATTTTGAAATAATTAGACATAAAAATGTCTTAAACAATGCTCGAAACTGCTCCACTTTATTATATTTCTAAAGTATTTTTAGGCCTAGGATATTTAAAGGTGAATTAGGTTTTTAGTGTATTAAAGATGTTTCAATCTCAGTCCACAGGACATAAAACTGGCATTTTGAAGACCTTTTAGAGTCTAAATCGAGGTCCTTCTGATATTGTTAAAATATATAGCTAACACCTGTTTGGAAGAGTGTCAGTGGAGCATTCTTACTCTTCAATAAACGTCAAGTTGAATTTGATCTACTTTCGTGTAATGAATTTAGCGATCTTGCTATTAGCTAGTTTTTCGTAAATACTTCTTCATAAAAAATATTACTCTAATATATATAATCTTGTATAATTTTTATTTTGTTATTTAGAGTATTGTCCTAAATTCCAAGGACAACTGGAGTACACAATAATGTTTTTTTGGGGGTGAGTGATGAACGAGTTATGGCACGGCGGGCGTGCTGTGGGAGCTGCCGTCAGCAGCATAGCGCCTCGTGACAGTATAATGTGCTTACACACGAACACACAACTATGTGGATGTTCGCAGACGTGTATGTATACGATGCCGTGATGAGTGTAACATATATTCTACATCTCCCTGAACAGATCCGTGCTTCTCTCTTATCTTAATGGCATCTACAAAATATTTTAATGCTGAATCGCTCTCGGGTTAATTTTCAACCCCCTAACATATTAATTCAGCTCTATATATAATTTAACTGTATGAATAAATGGATGTACGAGATCTTACTGTCTTGATAAATGTCTCACTGTAGGCTTGCACCCTGTGAACCCGGCAGCCTTCGGAGAGACGGGATGATTATGGGCATGTACACCGCTGTGTTCCTGCTGGCCCTCGCCAGGTTGGCTATGTGTTCCACAAGGCAGCACCAGCAGCACCACCACCAGCAGCAGCAGCAGGGTGTGGAGCTAGGTCTGGTCTCCGCCTATCACCACCCCATCCATACTCATCAGTCTCCACTGGATCCTGATGGAGTCTTAACCGTGTACTGGACGCCCGACTTCGTCAAAGAGGCGAGTGTGGGGTGGAGTATGTGTTGTGTGGGAAGGTGGGGTGGGTGTGTTGTGAGTGTGGGGCGTTGAATCTGGCCTTAAAGTTGTGGAAGAAGGTGGCTTTCATGTCTTTCGGCGAATTCTACTTGTTTACTCTCCGTACAGATTACGTCTATTTCTTTATATTCTTTCGGCTCCTTTGTGTTTCCTGCTTCCACCTGTGTTCCCTTGTTTTACTTTCTCTCAGTTTGAAGAGCCTGCCCTTGTCCAGCTTGTCTATGCCACTCATTATCTTGTATGCTGTAATCATATCCCCCTCTGCGTAGTTTATCCTCTGCTTCCACCTGTGTCCAGGTACCAGTCACTGTGTGACAGGTACCAGTCACTGTGTGACAAGTACCAGACACTGTGTGACAGAAACCAGACACTGTGTGACAAGTACCAGCCATTGTGTGACAGGTACCAGTCACTGTGTGACAGGTACCAGCCACTGTGTGACAGGTACCAGACACTGTGTGACAGGTACCAGTCACTGTGTGACAGGTACCAGCCACTGTGTGACAGGTACCAGACACTGTGTGACAGGTACCAGTCACTGTGTGACAAGTACCAGACACTGTGACAGGTACCAGTCACTGTGTGACAGGTACCAGTCTCTGTGTGACAGGTACCAGACACTGTGTGACAGGTACCAGACACTGTGTGACAGGTACCAGTCACTGTGTGACAGGTACCAGTCTCTGTGTGACAGGTACCAGACACTGTGTGACAGGTACCAGTCACTGTGTGACAGGTACCAGTCTCTGTGTGACAGGTACCAGACACTGTGTGACAGGTACCAGACACTGTGTGACAGGTACCAGTCACTGTGTGACAGGTACCAGTCTCTGTGTGACAGGTACCAGACACTGTGTGACTGGTACCAGACACTGTGTGACAGGTACCAGACACTGTGTGACAGGTACCAGACACTGTGTGGCAGGTACCAGACACTGTGTGACAGGTACCAGTCTCTGTGTGACAGGTACCAGTCTCTGTGTGACAGGTACCAGTCACTGTGTGACAGGTACCAGTCACTGTGTGACAGGTACCAGTCTCTGTGTGACAGGTACCAGTCACTGTGTGACAGGTACCAGTCACTGTGTGACAGGTACCAGACACTGTGACAGGTACCAGTCTCTGTGTGACAGGTACCAGTCACTGTGTGACAGGTACCAGTCTCTGTGTGACAGGTACCAGTCACTGTGTGACAGGTACCAGACACTGTGTGACAGGTACCAGTCACTGTGTGACAGGTACCAGTCACTGTGTGACAGGTACCAGACACTGTGTGACAGGTACCAGTCACTGTGTGACAGGTACCTATCAGAATTTAATTAGTATGAATTTCTGTATTTCCAATGAATTATATGAATTTTTTCAGACTTTTTGTTCCATGTTGCAATTATTATTTGAAATTTAGAAAACTCGTCCCTTTTTATTATTAAAAATCGTGTGTATAATTCCTTATGCATGGTAACCAAAGTGTACATTACAAAGGTTAACGCCGGATGATGCGTAATACCTCATGACTTTGGTGACTGGCGGTACCGGGTCAGCTGAGATATCTATGTGTGGCAGCTGACGTCCGTGCAGATGTACTTCAGGGTAACATGGGCATGGCTGGACAGGTCTCCATCACGGACCCTTTCGAGTACAGTGACTCGAACCCATACTGCTAGGAGCACTCTGCTGGCGTACAGGATCCTTTAACCGCTCGACCAACACGACCGGACAAAAGAGGATGGTAGCCGAGGCTATTTCCATCCCCCTGCCGGCACTCGGTTGGTACTCTTGGGCATGGTATTTTATCAAATCACCTCATTCTTTGGGGCACACGTGAGGAACACAAATGCGAACAAGCCTGAATGGTCCCCAGGACTATATGCAACTGAAAACTCACACCCCAGCAGTGACTCGAACCCATACTGCCAGGAGCACTCTGCTGGCGTACAGGATCCCTTAACCGTTCGACCAACACGACCGGACAAAAGAGGAAGGTAGCTGAGACTATTTCCATCCCCCCGCCGGCACTCGGTTGGTAATCTTGTCCATGGTATTTTATCAAATGACCTCATTCTTTGGGGTACACGTGAGGAACACAAATGCGAACGTTGTTGACTAGGACCTGCCTAACCCTACAGAGTTCCTCACCGACTTGCTTCCATCTTGAGCTGTGGCTGAGAGCACGGTCGATGTAAGCATTGACAACACTCCTCCTGTACCTGTCTAAGCAGTAACTATTGGCATTGAGGCACATTCCTACGTTTGTTTCCTTAGTGTAGACTGCAGTGTGGAAGCCTCCACCCCTTTCCGTGACTGTTACATCTTGAAAGGGCAGCTTCCCATCCTTCTCCATCTCGTACGTGAAACTCAACACAAAATTCCGCTCGAATGCCTCCTTTAGCTCCTGCAGACGTCTGACTTCAGGTACTTGTGTAAAAATGTCGTCAACATACTTGCAGTATATGGCAGGTTTCAAGTCCATGTCAACTAAGACCTTCTGTTCGATGGTGCCCATGTAGAAGTTCGCAAACAGGACACCTAGGGGTGTCCGGTGAAAAAACTAATTCTGACATGGCAATCATTGTGCTCTCAACAATCATTGTGCTCTCGGCAATCAGCAATCATTGTGCTATCAGAGATCAGTACGAAAACAGCCACGTATTCGACAGGGGATGCCAAGAGGCAAGACTGCAGAGCAAGATGACATAGAAAAAACACAAATAGAACAGAACAAAAGAGAGAGACGACTTTATTGTCATTTTGTCGACGACGTCATCTCGTCGACAACGACGAGACGACAAAAGAGAGAGTTAGCAAGAGCTAACCCAAACTTCTGTATCCCTACACAAGATGGAGAATAACAATGAATGAAGAGGTAATCATACTAAGGGAAAAAAAAGAGGGTGGTTTTACAAGGACAAAGCAGTATGTTAAGTACTTAATTAAGGAGAGTTTCAGGGTTTACTAATAATTGCCAGATTATCCAAGGATCTCGAGGTACAACAGTTGACCAATGAGAAACAGAAGGACAAAGAAATGGCGACAGGAAATGTGAGTCGACAACTGGAGGCACTGGATGGGACGAAGGATTTCGGCACCAGACGAGAATTCAGTCATGGGTCCTGGAAGAGGCGGCAGGGGCACCCAGCCATATCTTTGCATTTTTTTTTTTTTTGAGATATATACAAGAGTTGTTACATTCTTGTGCAGCCACTAGTACGCGTAGCGTTTCGGGCAGGTCCCTGGAATACGATCCCCGCCGCGAAGAATCGTTTTTTCATCCAAGTACACATTTTACTGTTGCGTTAAACAGAGGCTACAGTTAAGGATTTGCGCCCAGGAAATGCTTCCCGGCCAGGATACGAACCTATGACATCGCTCGCGGAACGCCAGGCGAGTGTCTTACCACTACACCACGGAGACTGACAACATTGTTCCTCAATTCTTCACTGCAAACTAATTAATTTATAAATGTATGAAAAAAGAGGGCAAGGGAAGAGGGAGGGAAAAAAGAAAGCATACAGGAGGCAAGTGGGAGTCACCGGAGAACAGATCACCGTGGGGGGAAATGGTACTAACTCTTTTTTTTTCAGGAATATTCCTGTACAAGCCCAGTCTTTAGCTGACCTACTAAGAGTTATTCATTTCTATCTTAGGTGATGGATGAGTGTTTACCATATCTTTTGCACTATTAAATATTAGCGGAAATCTTATTTGATTTATAACTTTGCACTGTATTAGATAATGTTCCAGTGTTTTTTGTTTGGCATTTCTCAGCTATGCTGACATTTCTCTCTCTTTTACTGTAACCTTAAGTCTATTTCCGATTCTCATAGGCATCCAAGCCTGATGCGGTGTAATTGCAATTCTGTTCTTCTATTGTTCCCTTTCACAAAAATAATTGGTTCATAGTTGGTTGAACTCTTGTGTTAACCCGCAGATCCTGACGCTGCAGTTGCTGTGTTGTAGTCACGGTACGTCTTCTGCATTGATCTATCTCTATTTGTGAGCTAAATTCTGTGGTATGTAAATATCAACATTCCTCTTCTTAGTTGCCAGTTTTGTAGCTTAATCTGCAATGACATTCCCTGGTATTTCTACATGATTTCGTACCCAGTTGATCAGTATGTGGCGACCTTGACGTTTGTGTCTGCATTAATATCGATGTAAAATTAAAAGTGGTTCAATTTGCTTATAAATTTTTTTATGAAATGGTTATAGAAAGGGCTGCAGCTGGTCCAAGTTTCATCATCACACCCTAAACAGAAAAGGAGAAAAAAAATAAACAACGAATTATGCAACGAATTTTCAAATAGTTTCAGGGAACACATGTGTCAACTAAAATCATTTCTATAACACTCAGATATTAAATTAAGCACATAATAAAGGATTCTAGTGATCAGTTTTATCAAAAAAGTGTTTAGTGCAATAATATAATTTTTCAAAGTTACCCTACTAAAAAATATGCAATATATGATATTTATAAATTTTTATAAAATCAACAAATAGACTTTGGACTAAAATGTCTACGAGAGTCTGTAGAAGCACAAACGCTACATATAAGGTGTAATTTGCATGTAAATTGATTAATAAATGAAAGCTCTGAAGTAATTTGAAGGTGTAAATTACTTTCCAGAGTAAAATAAAGATCCAAGTTCGGCCACCTGTAGCTGAGCTTGACTTCGACAGATTTCGTTCATAATTGGCACCCTTGCAGATAGGCATCCATTGAGCAAGGTGTGCAAGTTTCATGCAAATCCCTTGATAACAAACGAGAAAAAAAAATTGGCCCAAAAAAAAAATTAAAAAAAAATAAATTTTTTTTTTTTTTTAAATATAAATATATTGAACATACATATTACAATTATTACAAGAGTTTGTGCTTCTACAGCACATAGTAGACATTTTAGTTGACACATGTGTTCCCTGAGATTATTTGAGAATGTTGAACATTCGTTGCATAATACGTTGTGTAT